ATTCCTGCGTATCAGCAATAGAGGATTTGAGGATTACACCCAAAGTACACCTGAAATAAACCAATGTTGTCGTTGGGTCGGGTTGGGCTTGTTGCTTCTTAGTGTTTGTTTGGTTTTTTAAATCCTGATTTGTGCTCTGTGGGGTTTTCTTTGCTATTATTTTCACCAGTAAACCAGACTAACTTGTTCCCTGAACAAGCCAGCACTCAACAGTTCGTTTTCAGTCCGAAAACCTCCGCTACACAGCCAAAACTGCAGGGGCCAAACGTGGGGGAAGGCACCAGGCCTTGCCCTAAGTATTTTCTCCTGGAATACCCGACACAGTTCTGTTCTAAGAACATCAGAAAAACTAAGCAACCGCCGCTGCTGAGCTAGCTTTAACAAGACACAGCAACTCACACCTGGGATATTACCTTCACAAACTCAAACCCCAACCTTCTCTTGGCAAGACGACTAAAAGAAAGGTCATATTCGTTAACAGGCCGAAGCTAATTGCAGCGAGAATAAGGAACTCCGCAATAGCCTGACCTTAGCTGTTAAAAAACCCACACTGGAGATCAGAACTTGCACAAGAAAATTTCATCTCAAAATCTGTGATTGCACAAAGGTTTGAACACACATCTGAAAACCCGAAGTTGAAAATGAACAAAACCAGTAACGCCTACCTAAAACAAGCAGGGCATGAGGCCACTTTATTTGTACAATAGCTTCTGAACTCGTTTCCCACAGACTAGAACTCACCATTTGATGCTGATGAACATGGAGGCAATAAACTAAGTGGGGAGAAATGCTGTCTGTTAAAATTAGCAGCTGCAGGCGCTCCGCCAAGAGGTGTCCCAGGCGCGTATATCTGACCTCCCGAAAGGTTCGAGGCAAAATTACCCAGGTGTGTAGAAGAAGGTGTTACAGAAGCATAGGGTGAATCCATACTGACAATACCTGTGAGAGAAATGGGCACAAGTGACTCCCGGTACTCTGTGAAGAGGTCGCCCATATCATGGAAATTATAATAAAGGAAGAAAGAGAGCTTTTAACCAGTCAAAAGTTGGGGGACGGGGGGGGCTGTTACTATTTCCCACGGAGAACTGGGAGTCTTACGCTTCATACTCTGCAAGTCCTGCCAGCGTGTGGCAGTTGTGCCGTATATACATATTAAGAATGATTCTCATGTTACCACGTGGGTACCTTGAATGGAAATAAATTAAGGGAATGTAATACACCTCTGATAAAACTGGACATCGGAAAAGTGAGCATTTCATTAACCCGGAATTTACATGTTGTAGCTTTAGAAAGTAGGATTTTGTACCAAGAACGGTGGAAATGGTACTAAAGATTTGAAGACTTTCTCCATTCATTTTTTTTTTCTACAGAATGATGTCTATATCCACCACGATCAACAATGAAGTGGGGTTTTTTCCAACCCCAGGATACCTTTTCACTTATTTAGGAAAATGGTCTTTTATTAAGACCAAATGGCACCAAGTAGCCAAGGTATTAAAAATACAAGAATTAGTACCCCCTTAATATTCTCCTCAATGAAAAAAGGGGAAAAATAAAAATCCTAGGATTTTAAGTTTCAAAAACTGTTAAGGAAGCTTGTTACCACCCAACTGCCGTGGCACTTGCACCTTTCTCCTGGCTCATAAAGCACGTGACAGAAGATTTGCGTTTGCAGTTTTAGTCAGGCAAAAAAAATATCTCTTGTCCAGGGACAATTCTGCCACAGAATTAAGGCAGCACAGCACGTCCCTCCTCTGCATCATCCCTTATTGAGATCCAACCTCTATTTTTCGTCGAATTCTGCAGGCTCTCAGGGGCTACTTCCCTACGACCTAGCCTTAACACCCCCTGACTCCACAGACACCTCCAGCTTCATCTGATGTGCCTGCAGCCTTCCAAAAGAGAAGTTGCTGAGGTATCAGCAGGTCTGGGGTCCGAGCACTGCTTTTACTCAGGAACTGACAGGCTACACGGTGTACGAGCGTGCCAAAGCACCAAGAACCATATTAAGTTGGCAAAGTTCACAGAGAGCACCTCAGAAGCTCCTCAACACCATGATACTCACAAAGGAAAAAACTAACTGTTGTCTCTCTCGACTCATAAAGCAAGCTGTGTGAACAACTCCCCGGTCCCACCGAGAGAGGCACCGATGGTACAAACTGTGCCTGTGTACTGTCTGGAACCTGCAGAACACCTATCCCTGGAGGTATTTAAAATAAGGATAGACAAGGTGCCTAGGGACATGGTTTAGTGGTGGGATAGCAGTGTTAGGTTAATGGTTGGACTTGATGATCTTAAAGGGCTTTTCCAACCTAAATGATTCTCTGACTCTGTGACAACCCCTGGGCCTCCGGTTGTACAGAAGGCTAAACATCTTGCTACAAAATTCCATAAGTCAACAAAATTAAGTTTTTTGATCAAGTTTAGCAGTTAAGAGAGCACACCTCTTATTACAAGTTCACATCAAATCGCAGATCTTCTTATCATCCTAACACTTTGAAGATGCTGCATCATTTTCTGCAGCCTCGGGACAAGAAGCAAGTTATCACAAACTAGAGAAATTATTAGCTGGTGGTAGGAAAGGGAGGTGGAAACAACAGTCAAGCGTTTTATTATCTCAGCTACCACGGAAGTGCAGACTGGAATGGCAAAAAGAATGCCTCAGCTCGACTCTCATCAAGTTCATCGACTGCAAAATAGTTACTGGATTTGACAGGTGGCACTTAAAAAGGAAGATGAACTCAACTTTCCTTACAGAAACAATAAGCTATATTACAGCACCCTTCCGTTGCAGGGCTGACAGTGATCAATGACACTCTAAGTGACCTCAAAAGCCGAGGCAGAGAGTATTACGTGTTCAAAATAAAAGCGTGCGGCAGTTGTTATTCAAGTGTGTTATTAAGGTATGAAGGCAAAACAGAGACTTACCTGAGGGACTTGGAGCTGGCCTCTGTAACGGTGGCCTAAAACCTGGGGCTTTGGAAGTATCAGACTGATGTAAGGGATCTGAATTTGGCAAAAACGAAGACTTTCCTGACAGCATAGATTCTGGCGTTGTCTGAGATGAAACGACGGAACCACCCCAGAAGGCATGAGCAGACGTAGGACTGTTTTCAAACAACGTACTAAAGGGCCCGAATGGTAAAGTAGCACTGAAATTGTTACCCATAGACTTGTTTGCTGGATGGGCTGAATTCTGAGAAGCACTTTGTGTACTTAAGGTAGAAGGAAGCTGCACTGAAGAAGGAACGCTGTGGGGCCTTTTGATGTGGTTAACGTTGAGGACTGCGACAGAAGAGTTTTGCACAGGAGCTGGATTCTTATGGACACTGCCGGTTCCATGGACAGGCGGTCTGATGGCCGGGGTTTCCATCTTCGCTGCAGGCTGAGAAGACCCCATCGACGTCTGCGACACGGGATAGGTCATCGGGGCATTTGTTGGACCTGCCACAGGAGCAGATGAGCTTGTTGCTGCTAAATTTGGAGGCACAACCATTCGAGGGTCTGGTGCGGGAACCTGAGGTTGCTGAAGAGGGGGTCTGGCCTCTTGCAGAGGAGCTCCCGGAGGCTGCTGATGAGCAGGGTGCACAGATGAGCTGCCGGTACCAGAACTGGGCTGCCTACTGCCCGTCGAGCTGCTCGTTTCCACGGCTGGCGGACTACCCACTTCCGGATCAGACGAAGGTGCACCTTTATTCGGAGAGGTTGCTGGGCAGTCGGAAGGACTGCTTCTGGTAACACCCGCCGGCTGCGCAGGAGGAGAAGGAGATGAGGGGGAAGATGCAGGGTAGTGTTCTTTGGCAGTAGGAATTGGATACGTGGCATTCGTGGGCGCTGTGCTCGTGTTACTCGCCGTGGTCGTCACCGTGGTCGTCGTGGCATTTGATGTCTTCACGACCGTGACGAAAAGCTGTCTTCTGACCGAAGGTGAACTTGGACTGCCGTTAGCAGAAGAACCAGGCACAGTAGAAGCCACTGAACTTGTTGTAGCTGTTGGACTAGTTGTCAAAGAACTTGCTGAATTCACCTGAGAACCGCTGCTGTTCTGGCTATTATGGCGAGGCACCATGTGAGGTTTCGGTGAGTTGGTAGCTCTTGCGGGGCTCAAGGGCCTAACAGGAAACGGACCCCATGTGGACTGAGCTGGTGGGAAAGTACCTCCAAAGTGTGTCATGGGCAACCGAGGCGGACGGATTTGCTGGAAAGTCTGAGCAGCGAGTAAAGCGTGTGCAAACTGCGGAGGAGGATATGCTAATGGAAGAGAAACTTGGAAACCAGGCCGCACGTTGTTCACTGGGTTCTTAATGGTTTTGTGAGTGGATGCTGAAGAAATTGCAGGCACGGTGAGTGCGGAGGCAGTCTGAGATGTTGACGAAGCAGCTACGGTGGTCACTTTGATGCCCACGAGGGAACTGTTAGCAGCTGTAGTGGTGGCAGGTGTCGACGACCCTATTTTGGAGTTGGCAGCCGAACTTTTCAAACGGTTCTTTGGAATAAGTTCATCAATTTCCTTATCTGGATCCTTAATCAGAGCATTGATCAACTGCGTGGCCTGTCTTGTTGATTCTGTGCCGCCCCTATAAAAAAGGAAGGAAGAAAAGGGAAAGTGCATCTAAAGCATTGACATACATTACAGCCAAGTACCTCCAACGCGCGATCCAGCCTGCATTCGGTCACGCTGAGACAGACAGAAAAATAACACTCTGATCTGAAGACTGAGCTCAACACGTTCTTGCTGCTGACAATTATTTAGGCAGCCACAAGCTGAAAACTCTAACTCCCCAAACCCCGAATGGTTAAAACATTTGCTCCCCTAAACACCTCTGCATATTTAGCCATGTCTGAAGAAGTCTAAACACAGAATCCTAACATTTATGCTCCACTTCATATTGCAAGTCGTCTTTTGTACAAATGCTGTGGTACCACTTCGCAGTTGTTCTCAGTTTCCCCCCCACTCATCTCCCCTGCCTCAAAGAACCAACAGTGAACTTGCAAGGGACAACGAGGTCAAGCCTTTTCATTTTTCTATGCAGGGACGTGTTCTACAATGAAAAAAATCCCCACATGAACGAGCAAACCAAGCAGCCCGCTTACCTTATCGTTATTATTCGATCTCCAGTTTTGTCCTTCTGTTTGTCAATGTCTATGTGCGCTCCCGTGCACTCGCGTATCGCATTGATGTTACATCCTCCTCTGCCAATGACTCTGGAAATTACAGTTGATGGGACAGAAACCTTCTTGGATCTATGCAAAAAAGAAACATTATTAACTGGGAAACGCTTCCACGGCATGAAGCAGTGGGCAGGCTGCTCAAAACCATGTTGTAATTCATGATTCAACCTATGTAGCAGGAACTTTGTGCAATCCGTCGGGTCCGCTAAGGCGGCGGTCATTCAGTAACCCCAGAGAGGGCTACAATGATAAAACATTCTGCAAAAGGACATCAACAGTGCAGAATTAGGGGAATGTTCTGCTTACCTTCTCACAACTTCCTTCCATCCTTCTTCCCTTTTCTGACCGCGTTTAGGACTAGCGATGGTTAGCTTTCCATTTGGAGAAGAAAGGGGAGAAGGACCAGATTTCGTGCAAGTAGACAAGGAATTACTCGTCACCTCACTAATAACTTCAGACAACCTTTAAAAGAAATTAAATGTCATCACTATGCTGTCAGAAAAATAAAGAAGCCGACTTGCATTTTGCCCCTTCTCCAGCCCCCTCGACCCATTCGTCTCTTTTAGAACAGATGTTATTAAGAAACTGCTTGAATTGAGATGGTTGCGTCTCAAAGCACCCCAACAGTTCCCTATTTCCAGATCCACGATGATGTTTCTTGCTTCGGAAACTAATTCCGAGTTCAAGTTCATGCTGCAACAATATTTATAGTCCTTATACACACTAGAGCAAGGACACCGTGCCTCATCAACTTCCTGACAACTGACTTAAGTATGCAGGTCACCAAGACAAGGGCGCGGCGTTTAAATGTAGGGCAACAAACGCCCCAAAACGGCACACATGGTCACAGCAACTTACTTGATGGACGATTTGCCAGTAACTGCTTTCCTCTCATCCTTTGGACAAGTGACAAGAACCGACGGTTGCTTTTTGTTGCTCTGTGTGTTAGTAACGGCTGTGGAAGAATGATTGTCACTTTTGTGGCTGCTGTTGCTATTGCTGCTTTCATCGCTACAGCTGGAAATCCTCATATTGTCGCTATCGCCACTTTCACTAGTACTGCTGCTCTTGGATTCACCATTCACTTTTTCTGGTTGGCTATAGGAAATTGGGAGTTGATCATCAAATATAATCTGAACGTTATCAGGGGTTACTTTGTTTTTCCTGTTTTTCCTTTTGGAGCTTGTTGTGGTGATGGTATTATTCCTCTTCCCATGGGAACCTGCTAATGTCGTCCAAGTTGCAGATATACCTATGGTGGTTGTAGTGGTCGCACTAGGAGGCTCCATGGGGACCTCGGGATCGTCTGATGGAAGAGTAAAAAAAGAAACAGTACTAATGTAGCTGACTTGAGGAAGCTTGCGTAGTTTTGCTTCCCAAATCACACTTCTCCCATCAAATGAGTCATGAGTAACTTGACAAGACTCTGAGAAACATGCAGAACCCCTGACTACGTGGACATCTGTAAAGCTATTGCGTATGTCACACCGTGGAGCCTCTCCCCTTGTTTATGCTAACTTACACAGGATTTCATTCTTTTCTTGGAAGAGATGCAGCAGCAGTTTAACAAACACGAAATTGAGTTCAAGCATGGAAAGACAGATGCAAGCGATTAGGGGACATTAAAAAGCACATGAAACAACAGGAAAAAAATGGTCACGTCTTCCCTTTCTTTCAGCATTATCAGGGTGAGGGAACCACCAGTGAAAACCATTTCTCAGTACACCACATGAAACTCACTGCCACAAGATACACAAGAGCCAGGTTTCCATGAGCAAGAAGAGAATGATACATGTTTGGAATTTCCACACTGCCAGTTTTTTCAGCTCATCATTATTATTATTCTATTTATTAGGTAAAAAAAAAAAAAATTGACCTGGTTTTAAATATTGGGACCTGGAAGATAAAAAAACCAAGCCAACACCACCCCTGTGGTGAAGTTAACCCCTAAGTCTCACTGAAGTCATCATGTTAATCGACAGGTTTAACAGAAAAAACAAACAAAAGGAAAGCTCAACCGCTCATAAGAAAGCGCGTATTCAAGTTTTGACAAGAAAAGCACCTTTTAATACAAGGAATAAAATCAAGGCCATATTTCAAAAATAAGGCAAATATTTCAAATCACCTTCAGCTTTTAGCTTCTCCTTCTCCTGAGCAGCTTGAAGTTCAAAATTCTCTTTATTTTTAGCTTCTATTTCTTCTAGTTTTCTTCTTTGTTCTTCTTTTTTCTTCCTCCTTTTCTCCTTTCTTTTCTCTCTTTTGGCAGCCAAAGCCAGTCTCCTGCTTTCTTCCCTTAGCTACAAGTCAAGCACATGGAACGGTATCGCAAGATGTCCCATGCATTTCAAGAAATATTTCCCAGGAAACTGAACTTGCATTTTAGAGCAACAAGTTTACAAATAGTAGCTAAATTCTCTGCGATCCCTATTTTCACGTATTTACTTCTTCCAAGCAGACTGTTCACTCACGTGAACAGAAGATCAGTGTAGAAACAGAGGACAGACACCATACAAACTCAAGTCAGAGTTCTCCAAAACGCATTTTCACTGGATTCTTTGCGTAACCCTGTGTGTCTCAGCAGTACAGTCCCAACACCACCCATCTCCCTTTCAAAGATTAGAACACAAAATGGTTTCAGCCAGCTTGAATATAAAGCATGCGCTCATTTGACACTGTATTGTACTTAGATTTTTCCATTAGATTTCAACTACAGTACTATGGTTTCCATTATCATTACTAGGGTTTTGTTTGGTTAGTTTGGGTTTTTTTAATTTTTAAGACACAAACAGGTTTTAGACCTAAAATCCTCACCGTGACTGGAAAATGCCCACCTATCACGCACTTGATGAAAAATTATTCTCAGAAATTCTTCTTTTGGCACAATGTTATTCCAGAAGAAATAATTCTATTGGAGTTTTTTGATCCCATTTCTCTGAATAATAGTCAAAGTAAAGTTCAAAGACTACCTGAACAACAAGGTGCTCAGCTCTAGACACCCCAATTACGGTAACTACACACACTCCTATACTTAATATGTACTTTCACCAATCTTATAATCTTGAAAGAACGTAAAATTGGATTTTTAACAAAGAAATAATCACAGCTCCAAACTCTTTCAACTTGCCTTCTCCAAGTCCAGTTCCTCTAAAAGAATGCTCGCATTTTTGTTGGCTTCGGCAGCCTGTCTATCTTTGGCTTGAACAATTGATTCCATACACAGGTGGCACTTCTTCAGCATCTCCTGAAATGATAAAGTACATCAACCTCTCTGACTTAAAAAGTAACGCTGTGTGTGTTGGAATGCACCATCTCAAGCTTACACTTGCAATTTATTAACCATCGCCTTACTTGCACGAGTGTTTTTTAAGGAAGAACTTGAAATTCCCTCCTGTTCCCTTTTGTGCCCAGCCTTACCAACTGATATTCCAATCAGAGGTGTGATAAGCCATCAATAGCCTATGTCTCAGTGTGCTATAAACGGTACAAAGACAGTTCATAACCTATGCCCATTATCATGACCAAAAAGTTTTATGAAATAGAAGGGTCTGGAAGGTGAAGCAACTGCAGAAATAAAAATGTAGCGTAAAGCAAGGCTTTCTCTTTTTTTTAGACACTTGGGAAATATGTACATAAATATTGTAGTATTGTAGTACTCCTCAAACCTATATTGGCTTCATAGCAGTGGAAATATGTAAATGTATATGGTGCCTAGCGTCACGGAAGCGGGCAGCCGTCACAGCCCCTGGCAATGTAACACATACCGATTCAACCATTAGCACCTCTTCAGCCTCAACACGCTCATCACAACTGGAGGCCCAGCAAGAAGACAACTCAACCGCAGTGCAGCGGACCAGCGAAGAGGCGGAAGCTTTGTGACACTATTTCTGCACCAGTTGCTCTTCTCCTTTCTCTTACTACAAAATAGTTTTTGCCCTGTTCGTCCGGACTGAAGATAAACCAAATAAAACTGAACCTCCCCAGGGAAGAGCAGCAGTCCACTTCGCACGCCTGAAGAAACCACTTCATGGTCACTTACGTGTATCTTCTTTCCAGTACAGACTTTTTTTACACAGCTGTGTATCTTCATATTAAGCTCACACACACTCTTAGCAGAAGTTCATTCTGTTACCTCCACCCCACTGCAAAAGCCGTCATAAATTCAGCACAAACTTGCTCCGCAGGCAGGAAGGCAGAGCAGAGCAAAGCAATGACTGGGAGAACACTTGAAAATAAGCACGGATAACAAACACCACCACCTCTACTACTACGATAACAGCACTAAGGTGCGCAAAGTTACTATGCGCACATCTTCCCATATGTTGCAATGTTTTTTTCCAAAAAATTCCCCTGAGACTCATCACGTGGCTGAAATCTGGTGTGCCAGTAAGTTAAAGACTATTCATAATATGGACTTTAGAGCTGAGTTACAGCACTTTTCCTTCTCAAGTATTTTCTTTCTTACAATCTTACCTTATCCGTAATTGTTGCTATGTATCTCATGCATTCTGAATCCGATGGAAACTGGTTTACTTCTTTTACTAGGTAGCGGACAACTTTTACATGACCCTGAAAAAGCAATTTGAAGGACTTTGTATCAGGCCAGCTGCTTCTGGTTTGCTAATAAACACTTGAGTCCAAGCACTCATGGCAAAGTATTTATTTTCAACTCCTTCAAACTATGCTCTCAACACTTTTTTCTTTTTTTTTTTCTTTATCACCTCCTAAACTAGCAAGGCAAGTTCCTTCACACGAAGAGAAGGCAAGCAATTACCGAACCTGTTGCCAGGTTGCGCTTGCCCCAGCCATACTTACACATACTTCTGCTTTTTATTTTGGTAGTCTTCAAATGCCCAGCTCTGGCAACTGAACAGTTGCAGGCTCCTACAGTCATTTGCAATTTTCCTAGTACTGCAGCACCTGAACTACACTTCCTTGCTAACAATAATCATCGCTAGAGTCGAATCACACTAACCTGCGTTTGTTCGGATGGGGCTTTTTTGTTTGGTAGGTTTTTTGCAAAAGTTCTCATCCCCTCTTGCGTAAGAACCCGATCACATATTCCCCCCCCCCCCCAAAAATACCCTGCCATTTTCGCCTCTCAACAGGCCCATGAGAACCAGCCTCAGTGAAGTGCCTATAAAGCAAATTTCTGCTAGAATTTAATGCCTATAAAGCAAATTGCTGCTAGAATTTAACACGGATATTATACAGGTGACACACATACCTATTTTTGAAGATTCAATGCCAAGTAATAAAAATAGTTGACATATTTCTAAATATGTAGTTTCTGTCAGTTACGTTCTATTTGTAACAACCGTGTATTAATACTAGCTAAGACCCAAGCTGAACTTCATATTCTACCTTGCGAAAGGCTGCCATAAGAGGAGTTATTTTCCTGTTATCAGCAGCATCCACATCGGCTCCGGCTTGCACAAGCAGTTGGACAACGTCTAGATGCCCTCCATTTGCTGCCAGCCACAGAGGAGTATTCCCCTTCTTGTTACGCACATCAATGTGAGCTCCTCTACAAGAACAAACACGTTCAGTCAAAACTCTGGACCAGATTTTCATTTCACGTATCAACTGGACTGGCAATCTGGACACGCAACATGAGAACAACGGGGTAAAACTCAATACTCATTTTTGCAGCAAACATTAGCATTCACAGAGTGCTTCAGCTTCCAAAATTGGTTTTTTGTTTCTTCTGATGCTGTCAAGAGCCTCGACTCAGCCTAAAGACGTCTTTAATGCTCTAAATCATGCTGTTTGTCAGCTGTCTCTGAAGACCCTCTAATTACTTCATTAACCCTATCCATCAGCGCACTGTACTCTACGTTACCTTACTCAGAACAACTTACGACACATCTCAAGTGCAAGCCAACAACCAGTGCGGCTACTCGGAAAACAACATATCCAAAAGCTAAAACAGGAGACATAATTACACTGAATGTGCATTGTGATACATCTAAAAAAATGAAATCATTAAGAAGGATGTTTTGTGCGCATCTTCTGTTGTTTAAGGACTTAACGCTACCATCTAAAATGGCCGCACTTACCATGTAAGTAAACGTTACAAGAAATTGCTTATTTCCAACATTCATGATTCAGCGAGACAGGAAAAAACCAGTTAGTCCATCTGGGCAAAAACAAGCACTCTAACACCAAAGAGAACTCCGTCCGATGGCTTTTGATAAATAGAAAATACACAGTAACGGTCAACGGACATAGAACCTTCCCCACTTCCTACCCTGTAGTGTATTTTGGGAAGTATTATTGCATACTGGGAAAGATTAGTCTAACTAAGGCCATATTCAGCAAGTTTTTCTTCAAGCAGCACAGTTGCAAATACAGTACCTGCTAATGAGAAGCTCACAGAATTTGTAGTGCCCTTTGTCTGCTGCAATGGTTAAAGCTGTATCTCTTGAGGAAGGTACTGGAGGAGCATTTACGTCTGCACCTTTGTCCAGCAGAACTCTGCCCACTTCCGCATATCCACCAGAAGCTGCTTCCATTAACGGCGTGAGACCAGTCTAGGACAAGCAAGCAGGGAAAATAAAACATTAGCTGGGGAAGGGTAGAGGAGAGCCAGGGTTTATTTCGACTTCCAGTAACCCATTTCTATAGTTTTGGCGTACCGATTCCAATTGTTACCTGGCCAGTTTTCTAACAGCTTAGCCGCATTTTGAAGGCAAGCTCATCTTCAGCAGGCTCGAGAAGAGCTTTCACCGAGCAGCACAGCAGCCGCTGCGCAGTGCGAAGGTGGATTCAAAGCCCACTGCTGTCAGTCTCTCAAAACTAATGCTACCAGGTTCCAAGGGATGCGCATCAGCCGCACGACGTCCCACAAAGAGCCCGTGTTATTATACAGATGATGCCAATCACATTTCTTACCTTCGTTACGAGATCCTACGTAGCCAGAGGCAGAAAGCACCTGGCTAGGTCAAGGGGACACATCACTTTTCCCCTGCCTCAATATCCCAGCTGTTTTTCTAGTGAACAGCCTTTCCTCCCTTGTGAAGAGTTGGGGTCAACTGACGGGCTCTCAAGCACACACAGTCCCTTTCAATTGTGCATGGCCACTGTGGATATAAGCAGCTGGCCAGACAGAAGAGATTACACTGTGAGCACACCTAGGCCAAGTTTCTAACCATTTTTGAATACATTACAATGTTCTGGTTTTACTAACTTAACGGATTACTGTTCTTATGCTTGTAAGCACCTGAAGATGAACTGAGGCTTCAGAAGACACCCTTAGTCTTTGCTGAACTGTGTAACCACCAGAATACCAGCCCTTAAGCGCAGCCGTTATTTTTCTTTATAATGTATGGTTCCATTCCATTACCTGAACGACAGAAGTCAACTTACACAAAAGGCAAGAAAATCAAATAAGGACAGCGAAGCGAAGGTTTACAAGCATCCCTTTTTGGAGGTTTACTCAGCTATTTGCTCCTTACCTTGGCTCTGTGTTCCACATTAGCTTTTCTGTCAAGCAGCAGGCTAACCACTTCAGTTCTCCCTTGGAAACAAGCCAGCGTCAGCGCTGTATTCCTGTTGGTCTCTATCTGGGCATTTATATCAGAGCCCATGTCCAGTAACAGCTTGACAGCAGCCGTGTGCCCATTCATGGCTGCCAACATTAAGGGAGAAATGCCCAATTTGCTACCAGTTCTGCAAGAGAAAGAAGAAAAAACAAGGAACTCTTTACATCCTGATCACACTTCTGAAATCACTTGAACAAAGCTAGTGGAGAATACTTATCCAAGACCAAAAAAATCAGCTACACAGCAGCTATTACTGAAACTACAAGAGGTTCTCCACAGTAGCATTGCTTAGGACAGATATTTCTACTGAGAGACACTGTGCGCGTTACCCTTCAATTGCTGTAAATTTAAAGGCATCTCTTATGAGGAGCATAACTTTTGCTTGGACCTTTCGTTCGACTTGTGCAGCGCACGGCTGAGCTATTTTCTACCTTCCACTGCATGTAGAAACATTCCATACATGCATACAGGCACAGAAACAGCTTTCATTAAACCACACAGGAAAACAAAGGGATAACACACACACACACTTTCTTCATGTAACCGAGAACCAATTTCAATCCAGCAGACCAACCAGAGCAGAAAGATAGATTGCTGTCTTTGACAAAGACAACTGATCATATGATAGAGGAAAGAAGTTAACAAAATACATAGAGGGAGATGGAAGTTAAGAGCATTAGAAAAGCGCAGTCAAACCCTTTTGGTTTTAACTTTAAAGGAAAGAAGCCTACTACAAATTAAAAACATTGGTTGTGATCTTGTAAGAACAGTAAGGTTTTGCTTCACGTAACTGTAAAGAAATCCTGCTGGAAAAGGGTAAAATCTGAGAACACTACAAAAACCGTGAGAGAAGGTGTGAAAAGGGAACTTGCCTGGAATTTATTTCTGCCCCAGCATTTAGCAGAATCTTGATAATGTTCACGTAGCCACCAGAAGCGGCGAGGCTTAAAGGTGTGTAATCAGAAACATTCCTGTGCTCTTTATTTGCCCCTCGAGCTAGCAGCAACTCCACCACCTGCAGTGTTTTAAGAAATAACATCTGGTTTTCTCCCAAACTTGCAAATCTATCCAGGGCAAATGTTTTTTGAAGCCTAAATATACCATTGACATCTTCCAACAGTAAGAAAGCCGTGTTACTCAGTTGCTCCCCTATACTCCTTGCCTCCACGAACAGATGAGGCTGCAACTATGTTCTCAAAGGCACTGTAAACTTCAAAAAAATCAATCACGATCGCTCATGAGCATGCTTAATCCATTCATACCAAATTGCATAACGTAGCGAGAAAAAATTGAGGTCTCTTTAAGATTATTTCAGCCGTCTTTAAGGACTGCCAAAACCAGAGCTTCAGTTTGAATATGGTATACAGAACGCTCTTGCTTTTTGTCCTCTCCCACTTTAATGCTCAATTCTCCCACTTTAGTGCTCAGTTCCCCATTAAGTTAAAGACTCATCCTCAAACCGAAGCTGCAGAGCAAACAAGAAGGCAGTTGCACGCTTTTATCTTACGTTCTCCATTTACACCGCTCCATCGAACGGTGTGTAGGCTGCACACAGAAATCTCATGCAAGAGGCATTAGAAAAAACAACATTTGCATCCCTTGCTGGTCTTCTCTGTACAGTAACGAATCCACAAATACTCCTTACGTTATTCCTTCCTTACAGATTCCTTTACAACCCAAACAATTCACAGCTTCCCATATTCTGTGTGAAGCTTCACATTCTGGAATGAAGTTTCTGCAGAAGACTCGACAAGAACCTGAACTATCTAGCCACGTAAAATCAATAGGAGGGCTGAGGTGAAGCCCCACTGTGCGATGTCCAGTGTGATGTTCAATTTGCTCTACTTTCAGCTTTTAAGCGTAAAACACGTTTAGATTAGACCCGCACAACTGAAGCCAAGCGCTTTTCAATCAGAATGTTTTCCCTTGAAATCACAGGGCAAACGTACTGCCAAAATCAAGAATTGGGGTGGGAGGGCAAGCCGACATCATCTCTACTGCCCAAAGCCCAGTGCTTTCCCATCTTCTTTCCCCAAAACCATGAAAGAAAACATGATGCATTCCTCCAGGAAATACTGTTTGAGAAACACAGATGAAGCAAATCTCTGACGAGGTAAGCATCAATCCCCCCTTGCTGCATGAGGTCGCTGGCCACAAAGGCGGCGATCGCAGAGTTACTGCAGAGCAGGCCTTGCCCTTCAGCAGAGCGCATGCGATGGCCATTGCAGCTCATCCCCCCCACCTCTGACATCTTCCAGATGGCACTAAAAACAGGCCAGAAGAGCTACATGTCTTCAGGAAGGTTTTGGCTAGGGAAGTAGTCACCTTTTAAATGCCACAGTATCACCGTTAAGACAACCTGCAGAAGTGGGAGAGGTGTCTCCAACTGCATTAATTTCCACGTGGCCATAGACAGAGGAAGGTGATCCTGCCCCAGAATATGTAGCTGCCACTGTGGCTTTTGCAATCCAAATAATAGAAGCATTAACACAATTATACACTTCAGATTTGTAATAATCATTAGGAAGAAAAAAAATCAAAATGCAGCTTTCCTACTTAAATCACAGAATACAGTATTTCATGTAACTTTCAAAAAACCTTCCCCCACATTTACTTTTGCTTCATTATTTGAAAATGGTTTTTGGGTTTTGAGTCAAAGATGCTGGAGTCATCTGCAGTACTCGCAGTATCCTACGGCCTATACAGAAGGCATTAGCAAACCCTTGCTGCTCATATAGGGAGCTCACTCCAGCTTCTCAACAAGAACACTCATCGCATTCACTTTCATATCTACATCTAATTATGCTGGTAAAAGCCCCGTAACGAGCCACTAGTGATTACAGTCATGCGGTTGTCTGCACGGCACTGGTCCAGCTTATCAAAATAGAAAAAGCAGTTTATACTAGACACGCTGCAATATATAACTTAGAAAACGTGAAGCTCTTTGCATCCTTTTTAAAAAACACCATCCTTACACCAAACGGTGAATTCAGTTACTGTAACTAAAGTGGAAGATGGCTTTAGTGTTCTGACACAACACGGCATTTACACGCAGCTTTTGAAGACTTAAGTTTTACTTCACCTCTTGTCTCCCTCCTGAACAGGCCAAAGACAAGGGAGTGTCCTTGGTTCTCTCAGACTGGGCTTCGATATCGGCTCCATTATCCAGTAAAATTTCAACAACACCCACGTGGCCAGCTGTAGCAGCCAAAATAAGCGGAGTAAACCCTGAAATGAAAAAGGCTGTTTGAGGAGTCCACATGCATAGCTTAAGTTGAAGTGACCCAAGTTAAACCATCAGACAGGCAAGCATAAAAGCTTCACATAAAGACTACGCTTATGGTATGTTCATTTAGTGCAATACACTGGATAACCAGAGAGGGCCTGGACGGCCGTAGCGAGATCCCTACCTTTCTTGTCCCTGTGTTCGATATTAGCTCCTCTCTCCAGCAGCGTTTGCACTAGTTCTTCGTGGCCACCGGCACAAGCAAGGGTCAATGCTGTGTCATGATTACTCTCGGTCTAAAAGAAACAGACATGGTAAACACAACACAATAAATATGTCCTTTTTCAAGTACAACCCCTGTTATATTGCTTATTAGCCCAAGTACAACTACCGGCGACAGAATCAATTGCTTCTGTAAGCTTGAGACACGTCTACCGATTACCTCACGGTCATCTTTTGCGTTCAAGTTCGTACCAGGATTCTGCTCCTCAAGTCAGCTCTGTTGGGAGATTTGAGAACAACTCCTGACAAGAACTGAGATTCTTCAAGAACTGAGGTTTCATCTGTGCTTTGCTAACCTGATCGGCTCCTTTACCGCTGCTTGACTGTGACCTTAGATGGTATAATGAAAGTAAGAAATCTAAATTCTTAACCCTCTGGTTGAACCGAAGGGCGAAAAATTCCCAATCTCACCACTACTGTTGCTGAAGCCTCTCAACAGTAGGAATCAGCTACAGTGAGCCCACAAATCACAGCAATCAAAAAGAACAAAACAACTGAAAATCCACCGAAGTCTTTGACCTTATGCTCGGCTTTTAATTTTTTTCCCTTTAGAGCGCTCATACACCGTCTCCAGGTGAGCATTTCTAGCAGTAGACAGTTCTCAACAACAGCGCAGAGCCCTTACCAACCTTGCTTCTGCCTATTAAACACTCGCAATGGAACAACGTGCATTTCATTTCTCCATGTCGCCAGGGCCCACTTAAATGACCACCATCCCATTGGAAAGAGCAACTGAGACACCGAGAGGATTACTGGCACTGTTAGTTACAGCACAGGGACTAAAATGACATCCTTCTCTCCTTAAACAACAGCAAACACCAAAAGAACAAAACCACCCAAACCCCACGCACACTCCTCAGCTGCTAGGGGAACCTGGGCTTACTCTCTAACGATCCAGGGTAGTCAGCAGCTTATCGTAACCTCCGTCTGCGCTGGCATCGGCCTGCTAGCAACAGGGCCCGTCAGGTTATGGTAGGGGCTCCTGGACATGGTCACAGCAGCAAGGAAGCCAAGTGCCATGAGCAGCTGAAGAAGCCCAGACTTGTTTTCCAGGGGTTTCTCTCCCTTTCTCCACAATGATCTCAGGCCTTTCCTCATTTCCACACAGCCCACATCTTACCATGTTAGGTATAGTCTAGAACTATGCATATACATATGCTAGTTAGTATATGCATGCTTTTTATATTTTTTTTCATGGCCAGCTAGCTGTAAGTCAACAGAAAGTAACCCTTTTTCATAGAATCATAGAATCACTTTGGTTGGAAAAAACCTTTGAGATCATAGAGTCCAACCTTTAACCTCACCCTGCCATCCCACCACTGAACCATGTCCCTAAGCACCTCATCTGTCCCCAGGGTAGTCAGCAGCTTATCGTAACCTCCGTCTGCGCTGGCATCGGCCTGCTAGCAACAGGGCCCGTCAGGTTATGGTAGGGGCTCCTGGACATGGTCACAGCAGCAAGGAAGCCAAGTGCCATGAGCAGCTGAAGAAGCCCAGACTTGTTTTCCAGGGGTTTCTCTCCCTTTCTCCACAATGATCTCAGGCCTTTCCTCATTTCCACACAGCCCACATCTTACCATGTTATGTATAGTCTAGAACTATGCATATACATACACTAGTTAGTATACACATGCTTTTTTATTTTTTTTCATGGCCAGCTAGCTGTAAATCAACAGAAAGTAACCCTTTTTCATAGAATCACTTTGGTTGGAAAAAACCTTTGAGATCATAGAGTCCAACCTTTAACCTCACCCTGCCATCCCACCACTGAACCATGTCCCTAAGCACCTCATCTGTCCTTCTTTTAAACACCTCCAGGGATGGGGACTCGACCACCTCCCTGGGCAGCCCATTCCAGAGCCTGACAGCCCTTTCGGTGAAGAAGTTTTTCCTAATGTCCAGCCTAAACCTGCCCTGGTGCAACTTCAGACCATTCCCCCTCGTCCTATCGCCCGTTCCCAGGGAGAAGAGGCCAACCCCCACCTCACTACAGCCTCCTTTCAGGCAGTTGTAGAGTTGTAAAATTAGTTGTAATACAGAAATGCTTTTCTTTAGTAGAAATATGAGCTTGAATTATTTCCTCTCGTTAAAAAATTTACAGGGATTACTAGCTTCAATACCTTCCTACTTCTGTCAAGCTGGGTGATTTCAGTGGCCAACCACTTCAAGCACACCCAGGGAAAAAAAAAAAAAGCACAACATTTTTGATTTTTGTCACAGGATAGCAGGCCAGAAAACTATTTCATTTCTGTCAGAAGACAAACTTCCCTGCTTAATCATAATCGCTCGGACAACAAGGAAATAAGAAATGCGAGTGTATGGTCATTCAAAGACCTTCTCTCTTGTTCAGCGAGAGCACAGAGGCCAGTGGGCTGCAACTCTCCAGCGAGTTGTACAGGCTTTCTAAAGGCAGCAGAACAAGGCTCTAGAGCCCAATTCATTATACAGCAGAGCTGTTGACGATCACCGCGTGATTCAGGACGCAGAAGCCCGACAGCTCCGCGCGCCTGTGCTGCAGTGACAACCGCAGGCTTACCTGCGCATCGATATCTATAGCAGGGTAGATTGGTAGCATGGCCGAAGGAGAAATGATAGGACTCGGAGTTGGCGTCTGAGGTTGGGAGACAGAAGTTGCAATGCTGTGGGTAGGAGTGTTTGACATTGCAGATGCTCTTCCGCTCACTGCTGTTGAACAGAATAATTACACTTAGTAAAAGCAAAACACTTGACTTCAAATGTTTATTTAACGTGACGATAAAGGGACAGTGGGACAGAGCTCCCACCGACAGACTGAACTCCCTAAAAGATTTGTTTTCCACAAATACAGATTATCTACACATTTAACCCAATCTTTGAACCTTTAACTCTTTGAATTTAACAGCTATGAAACAAGTTAACTGTATTAGATCAAACAAATAGGTAAGGATCAGATTGGCGTGTTTTGTAGAAGCCCACCACAAAAAAAAAAATAATTACTGGGTTTTTTTTTTGTAAAACCAAAGATCTTTCCTACAAGTCAGCCGTTATTTGGACCAGGAGTTCCATACCTTTAGAAGCAGGACTGCAAAACAAGTCCAATCAATGGGTATCTATGCAATTTTTCTTAAAACAGTTTAAAGATTCTTGTATTAAGTCTGTCCAACCTCCAACCTCCCACCACCCCCGGCCCCCATAAACATAACAAAAAAGCAACAGAGCTAGCATCAGGATGCTCACATGGCAGAATCTGCTGAAACCAGAAAAGTGGAAGCTTCTTAACAGCCATTTTGCAGAAACTTTGCTCAAGGTTGTTAGGATAAGCAGAAGGCAATACCGTTTTACAGTTGATGACAGTGTATCGACATGACATAAAATAGCACCGACTGCCACGCTTCCCTGAAATTCACTTCATACAGATCATGTGTAAAAGCACAGCGCAAACTTGAATCTAAAACAGCCTTCAGGAAAAAAACTCTCGTTTTCCTACTTTTTGGGTTTTTCTTCCTTAAAAGAACTCAATGTTTTTCTCCCTGACTTTCTCCGGTATTTCTACAGGTCTTCAGTCAGGGGTGATCAGCCAAGGAGCGAGTCACGGACCGCACGCTTCCCCTGCCCAGCTGACAGCAGCACCCTGAACTGCACAAGGCACTGCCGAGTAACCTTATGGAAGATCAAAATAACATCCCTTTATCCCCAATTTTTCAACTCCCACTCAGTTTTTGAACAGGTTTAGTAATCAGCCGTGTCCCTAACTGCCAGCCATTGATAATTAGCTCTTCTATTTCATTGGAGGTGCTAAGTTTTTCAACACATGCCACAAAAATTGCATCAAAATTTCTATCCTAATATGCCAATTTTTGTAGTCCCTGCAAGGCAGCTATGTTTTGCATCCATTACTAATTTTATTTCTGCAATTCCTATACCAAATCGCAGCAAAGAAGCTAATAAATGTCACTGAAATAAACAAAAAAAGCCCAGCTTATAGCATAAAAAGTATGATTAACCTTGTATTTAAGAGTAAGCCAAGATTTAAACTCCCTTGATCTTTACATTAGAATGCCTTTTTAAAACTTTTCTCATCTTCCAAGACAAATCGTGCTAGGTATGAATTAGAAGAATCACACAGAAGGTAAAGCCAAAATATTCTGACATGAGGGCAACACCCGTGGCCTAAGGGATTCCTGCACAGAGAACTAACCCAAGATCACGACGGAATATCGTTCAGGGGAGCATCCAATTTAAACTTGTCCCATTCCTTATTCTGACTGTAGATGAGAGACGTAAGCTAAAAGCGCAACTCCAAACTGGTTTCGTACGGAAGGAGAAGTTGTTGGCTTCAACTCCTGCTCCCCTCTTTACATAGACAGTCATAACAAGTAATTTGGAAAAACGAGCATATTTACCTTCTTCCTGTAAGTTCAAAGAGGAAGTTAGAGCAGCATAAAACAGTAACGGAGTTACAAAGGATCATGATTCTTCACTCCCGCACCGAGCCCGACAGAACCCGACACAGGTGGGAAAATGGACTGGAAACCAAACAGGCTTAACTGATGACCTAAAAGCACGCTCATCAAGTAACTGACACATGAAAAAAGCTAGGCCTGCGATGTGTTTTAAAGAGTCGCTAAGAATCACTGCTCTAGTCCCAATATGGGGGCCGGGGAACATCCACTGTGTTACAGGAGGCACTATTGAAGTTCCTAGGCTTAAAAAAAAAAGTTAGGAAGGTCTCAATTCAGGTGAAGGCTAGTTTTTATACCAACGGTATTGCAGTGAGGAGAAAGAAAATAAGGAAAAACCCCAAAGACACATGTTTAAAAGCCAACGCCCCTCCTTCCACAATGAGGAAAACCTTTATTGTACAACCCATTAGGAAGTTAAGCATGCTATAGAGGAGAATATACATGTTGACTTACAGGTCTCATATTTAATATATTTCAAGTGTGCTTCAGCAATAACTCACAGACAAATATGGTTCGTATCCCTACAGCACATTTCACAGAGGCAAGATGGTAATTTTTATGGGTAATGACTTCGATTATATTGATTTCAACGTCACCTGCGCAGGGCTCAAATTTGTAATAGCCAAGGGCACCGAACAGAATCTTTACGGCGTCCAAACAAAAATATTAAAACTTTTCAATAAGCCAAAAGGTTTACACAACAGTCTTGAGTAGTGAGAAGAGTAACCAACTAGCCTAGCCACGAAATCCAAATGCACTGGCAGCCAAAGGTTTAGCTCTCCACTCTGCACCTCTAGCGACTCTAAGGGAGCAGTGGCAAAATCTCACTGAAAGGCTGTACTTCAGCACTGAAACATCATTACGTCGTGCCTGGGACAACCAAGTCTCCAAAGCTAATTCCCCATTAGAATATTTTAGTATTTATGTGCCTTGGTACAGGACCAGCTACCATTCTTAATCACGTTACGAAACAAGGTCAAGCTTCTTTGTCAGAATACATCACCCCAAGCACCGTTGGACTACTCCGGTCCACGCCTTTCACATTTGTTTGGATATCAGACAGCCAGGTTTGTGCTTCCTGATATTAGGAGCACAGCTGCTCTTCATAGTGATTTCTTTCTGGGCATCTCAACTTCCTCTTAGCCTAAGCATCCTCACCGCTGCGACCTTCTCCCCCACGCCCCCCAGCCTCACCATCCAGAGAAGGATTTGGCTTACAAATGCAATCACGGTATCAGGGGCTCACAAATTTTAAAAAAAACAAAAAAACAAAAAAACAAAACACCAAACCAAAAAAAAACCCCACCCCCCAAAAAACCCCACCAACCTGAAAACTAACATTAGATACGTAACATCTGAGCCAACAGGATTTTTTCCTCACTGGTCTACATGTCCTGAATCAAAATGTGTGGCTGGAAAAAAAGCCTGACATTTTGAAAAGGAAGATGGGGTCGTTTGCGCTGTTCAGGTTTGCTTCTTCTTTCAACACTCTGTATTTTCCTTAAGTGCAAGATGTTACAGAAACCAAGCACCTTTAAAATCCCTTTTCATCTTTAGGTCCGCCATGAAGTTTGTTACTAGTGTTGTCTGACTGTGGGCACAGCACTGCTTTTATGCACTTATCCCCTATCTCCTGTCATGTTCAACAGTAGATATCTAAAAGACCTATTTCAAATTACGTTGCAATAAGCCAAGATGAGGGACTGAAAAAAAGTTACAAAAAATACATTAGATACCTCAGCTCTTTCCAACTTGTTTCGAGCCAACTCAAGAGGCTTGCTCCACATCAGCCGCTTCTCCCCTGCCCCCAATTTCTCCGTAGTATCTTAAGTGATGAAAAGCTATGTTCCTGCCACGCATGCTTAAAATCCATACAGAACACCTGAGCAGCGGAACATGCCTTGAATTACACGAGTCAAAGTTACCTGCTGATCTCAAAGACAAACACACAGCACTGCTCCTAGGCACTAACAGCTCCATGGATGAAGCCTGAGAACCACACCATGCCTGTAGTCTTGATGATTAGTTAGAGTCGGAAAGGCGGACTGTCACAGGGGCAGTCCCACACAAAACCTCTCAACAGTCCAAGGACAAAGGTCTAAATGCACATACCACCCATTGGCAAGAACAGTGTAACCACTGCCAGCACCCCACTGCAGTTACACCAGTGCAGGACAGCTCACATCCTCGGTTTTCCTCGGCTCCTGCACGAGGGGGACAGAACCTCCTGATTTTATTCTGATGCTGGCACTCTACAGTTATTTTTTCAGGTTTGAGTTTCTGTGAAGAACTTACAGGCAAAGCATGCTTTTTCTCACATGTTAATTTAGACAGTTACAGTTAAAACTGACTCGTCCCACAAGGTAGCTTCCAGGAATTCATCTTATCAAGTGCTTCAAGATTCCTGAAGTTCTTTGCGAGGCTCTGTTACTGGACATAACCCTTTGAATAGTTAGTACTTTAAAAAAGCTTGCTATTAAAACCGGGATTATTTTTTCTTTTTATCCTTAACACACCATTTAACATATGCAATTTTTTCATTCAAGAGTTACGTAGCTAACCCTAAAAAAATACTGGTATGCAATTGCCTCACAGCAAGCAAAGAGCTTGTCCAACATCCGAAGCTAAGAGCAAACCCTTTTGCTTGTCATCAATTCCAGCAGGATCAGAAAGGAACCCAAAATTAAAACTGAAAGTTTCATTTCTGCTTTTTCAACTTATCCTATTTCTTTTAAAAAAAAAAAACCCAACCCCAAAACCCTGAACTTGGTTCATTCTCTCACTATGTTTCCAGGCAAATTGCGCAGAGCTCTGGTAACACCAATTTAGCTTCTCTAATAGCAAGGAATCCTACTTTGAGTCCCAGAGGGTTCCTATTAAAGCAATGCACGAGGCTACTACGAAAATACTTAGCTGCTGCTTAAATGTTTTGTATCACATTAAGCCCATTTCACCTCCACACTCAATTCTGATGCGTGGACTCAAGCTGGCACTTAAGTTGGATATTCAGGTCTGTGTCTGCTCTTGCTTAATAAAAACCCCAAAGTTAGCCACTTAACAAAAAAGCAAAGATGGAATCGCATGCATACAGCTTTTAACAGACTTGGCCACAAATGCCTTCTAGAGCACAGTTTGCTGGGGGATGAAGGGATGGAGAGCAGCCCTGCCGAGAAGGACTTGGGGGTACCGGTGAATGAAAAGCTGGCCATGAGCCGGCCATGGGCGCTGGCAGCCCAGAAGGCCAACCATGCCCGGGCCTGCATCCCCCGCAGCGTGGCCAGCGTCGAGGGAGGGGATTCTGCCCCTCTGCCCCGCTCAGACACCCCTGAAACCCTGCATCCACCTCGGGGGTCCCCAGCACCTGTTGGAGCGGGGCCAGAGGAGGGCATGGAGATGGTCCAAGGGCTGGAACCCCTCTGTGATGGGGAAGGGCTGGGAGAGGTGGGGGTGTTCAGCCTGGAGGAGAAAAAGATCCAGGGAGACCCAATTGCAGCCTTCCTGTGCTTAAAGGGGGCCTGTACAAAAGATGGGGACAGACTTTTTTGCAGGACCTGTAGTGGCAGGACAAGGGGTAATGTTTTTTATAAAAGAGAAGATTTAATGAGATTTAAGGAAAAAATTTTTTACAATGCGAGTGGTGAAACCCTGGCAGGGGGTGCCCAGGGAGGTGGTGGAGGCCCCATCCCTGGGAACATTCCAGGCCAGGTTGGCCGGGGCTGTGAGCAACCTGATGTGGTTCAAGGTGTCCCTGCTCCTGCAGGGGGGTTGGGCTGGGTGGCTTTAACAGTCCCTTTCAACCCAAACTATTCTATCATTGTATCAATTTAGACCTGGTGCCCAATTGTACGTGTGCACGCATGTACTAAAACCTGGGACTGAGCAGCACATAAACATGCACTCAAGTGCACGTTGGAAATACCTGACCTTTCCAAAAAGGCATGCGTGAGCATTTGGGTACATGGCAGATGACCTAAAATGGTATATTATCAAGACGTTATATGCATTTAAACACATAACAAATGCCCTAACTCCATGTTTAAGTTATATTTAAACCCAATTGAAGTGCATTGCACAGATTCTTCCCAAGTACCCAAGACCTGTCATTATCCCACCTCCTGAATTCAGTAGCTGGCATTGTTATCCCAGCAGTTCCACACGAGAGACATCTTTATTCTCAATGCATGATGGACGTAGTTACATCTGCTTTTTCATGCATCCAGTTGGTTTTCTATCCACTGGCAGCTTCCCATCTGCATGTCTAGGCTTCAATTCTAACACCAGATTTTCAGAAAAGAATCTCAGTAGCTCCCATAAGTTTCAGTCATCTTTAACGAGGCTTTGTCTGAATATTAGGTTACTGATCAGCACCTAATATAAGGTATGTTATTTCAGGTATTTTAAACAGTCACCACCTGGTGGTTTTTAACCATTACTGTATCTTCTATTTCCTCCGCACCGTTGCTGTACTCCAGTAACTCTTGCAGTATACACGGGACCAGCTCCACACCTCTGCACCTCCTGGCTAAAAGGTTCTCGGAGACCTGCCTTGATGCTGGCACACGCCACTCATCCTAACATGCTTTACAAAGCAGACTTGTCAAAATAGACAGTGCTTTTAAAAATACATGTTCATCAGCTTAACCAAGAGCCCCTAAGCAAACTGTCACCCAGCGATGCGATTTTTTTAATACTATGTCCTAACAGTTAATTTGCGTTCAGCTAAGTCATCAAAACAAGTATGTCAGCCACTACTTTAATACGGAAAGGGGATTAAGTGCAACCGAAGCAGGTGTAAAGGAAAGCAACACTAACAATTCCCATTTCCTACCGTATTTAAAAACCCGTTTTGTTCTTTTATTTTACTACTTCAGGCCTTAAAGCACTGATGTCACCGGGTAAAGAATCCTCCGAAGCAACTAGGTAGAATTTGCTATGGCTAAATTTGTTTTTCGCTGGCAAAGCAGCCATTTTTAAGAGTAGACTTTTTTTTGAAGTCATAGGATTATCATCTTCCCCCCGCCCCCCCCCCCCCCCCCCCAAACCAGAAGTAAAAGCTTCCGATAGGTAGACTATTCAAGGCCAACTAGAACGGCTCTCGTTCAAAAAGCAAGCCCGCAAGTTCCTTACGCCTTATAGGCTCGATGGGGTGCTATGGTTGCTCAAAGCCTGTTCCGAGTGCTCCACGTCAGCTCTCGGTTAGCTAGTCCACAGTACTAACCAGTACCTACAGAGAGGCCAAAACGGGACCGTTAGACCCTAGCGCATCCCCCCGCCAAGCTATGAAGAGTTAAAAATGCCACTTCCGCCATACCAACCTGACAACCAGGCACCAGTTAGCTCAACAAAAGGCAAGGCAGCCCTGCAAATTGAAAAGTTAAAACTAGTTTTCTGAACTGCTGAAGACAGGGATCAGTAAGCTAGTGGTACTTGCTGTAGAGCTAGCGGGAATACACAAACACACACATACACACATAAAGAAGTGGACATACCCTCAACTGGTCAAGCAAATATTATACCTGCTCATAACAATTTAAACCCACCTGCCATGATGTCATCCAGCGTGTCATTGAGCGTCTGAGCAGGGCTGGCTACCATTAACCCTTGCTGTGTTTCTGTCAGTATTCCTTGCCCCAGCCCTGCTAGTTGTGCTTGGCCCAATACTGGCTGTCCAACTATAACACCTTGCAGTTCTGTAAGATTTGCGATGGACCCTGGAGGTAAGGAACCTGCTGCCAGAGGCAAAGCTTGTGGCATCGCCAGAGGCTGAATTGGTGCAAAACCCGTCTGCGCAGCAGCTTGCTGAGGATCATCTTTAAGCAAGATGGGGTCCACTTGCTGTAATCGTGCATAGTCTCCCTCTGAGAGTTGTTCTCCTACCCCAACAGGAGTCAGTAGTCCCAGATGCTGGCAAGACTGTTGCTGCTGCTGCTGCTGGAGCTGAATTCTTTGCGCCTTTACCTCTAGATATTGCTTTTTTAGCTGCTGCTGAGTTTTCAGCTGTAACTCGCGCTCCACTTTCTGCAGTTCCTCCAAAATCTTTTGTTTCTTCTGAATTTGTTCCTCTCTCGTTTTGTTCAGCTCCTCAATCTTCTCTTTGGTGAGCTGGTCAGCGTGTGCCAATTCCAGGGACTGCAGCTGAGCGTTCTTCTCTATGGCTTCTTTTATCCTCTGCTCCAGCTCTGTCAACTTGCCCTGAGCCTCTTCTACAATGCTCTCTGGAGACTGATTGGTGATGTAACCCTGTACATCCTGGTTGTTTGCTGGCAAATGACTGCTGGACTTTTGTTTAGAAGCAGCTGTGTGAAAAAGAAACCCCCTCAGAACCAATGGAAGTGCATACGAATGGCATCCTCATTATAGAGCTACTGTTGGGATGCTAAATGGCCGGTTATGCACCAAGACACAGCACCCACAGAAGGTCAGCGCGTACTGTAAGGCCCTCAAAGAAAACCGTATCTTTCGCTATCAATTTTAATACAGCAGTCAGATTGCAATTTAACAGTACAGCTTACTGCGCACACATTCCAAATAACCCTGCGCTACGTTGACATATTTACTCCAACAATCGGGCTACTTTTGCCAAATGAAGCGATTGTCTCAAGAGCCGCTGTTATCAAGTGCTGCTACAAGATAAATGGAAACAAAAAGAAAGGACATGCTGTCTCTCTTTACTTGATGGTGTTAAGACAAACGTACGGTTACAGCCCTGCAAGCACAGCCAAAGGGAGGCAAAAACATCTTGAGGGACAGGTGACTTGTTCTAGGCCACCGGCTTTGTGAATAGCTCGGTACATTTTAGGAAGCACTACGCTTTCTAGGACTACTGAATCCTTTCACTACAGGCATCCAGCTTTGCTCAGTTGACAAAACAGCGCTAGAACCTAGGACAGTAATTTGTATTTAACAGGATCTAACAGGGTGTGTTTAGCCACTACATTTTATCCGTAGCAGACATGATTTTGCCTGTGTCAAAACTCAGCTCTCTGCCCAGGCAAGGCAAATATTTCAGCCTTCCTGTAAGAATGAGCGATGGACTAATCCAATTCATCTCTTATGAAGAAGTCCACAGTAACACAGCTGACATGGTCTGCCATACCGGTTGGAGAAGGAACAATCGGTAAATTTTGAAGGGCGAAAGGCAAATCAAAACTCAGGATCTGAGTCAGTGGAGGTGCCCAGTTTCTTCCAGTCATCCTCGCTGTATTTCCAGAACAATACAAGTGCACACACAGTATTAATTTTACGACATGCACGCCTGTATTTGCACTACTGCTGATCCTTGATAAAAATCGTTTTGGAAGAGAATTCTTAAGTACAGAAAGCGTTAAGTGTCAAAATGGCGATATCAAAATAGATGCAAATTTAGTCCTAGGAGGACCTGAGCCACATCAGACTAACTATTTTATAGCACAAGAAATTCCGCCTTCAATCAAATTAGTCAAACCCACTCCAAGACTACTATCCTAAATGAACATGAGTTACCAAATAAACTACAATATGAGGTTAACATTGTTTTTACATCTTCCATTATCAAATTTATAGAGCCTTCTGGGTGACATTTTGCATTAGTCCAGTATGTCAGACTAATATATTTAACGTATTTACGTAGGCAGATTTCTTGACACTTTATGATTACAGGGTTAGATAACTGATACTTCGTATTTGGCAGATAAGCAAATCCTTAAAAAAAAGAAAAATTAAAAAAATTGCAGTTTCCTTGACTGAATCCATAAACACTCTTCATAGGAACTACTCTGCTACAAGTGCAACCCTCTATCTTCTACCTAGGAAGATTATTTAGAAAATAAGCTCCGGAACTAAGACTGACCTTTATTTCTGATGGGAAGGGTTGTGGCGACATTAGCAGGGGGTTTGTCAGGCTCCTGGGGTGGGACGACCATGGGCAGCGCCTGCACTGGTACACGAGGAGCCTAAAATGTTGGATACTAACAGATTACTTTTCTCATACTCTAATCTAGTTATAATTCAATAGAAGGTAAACAAAACCTGTTAGAAAAGCAGACTTCAATGGTGACTAGTAACATTTATTACTTTTTTCTTTTTTAATATGCCAAGTTCAATAGTTAACAGTTTGAAATCATCTGGCTTGTATATACTTAGCATTTTTAACCTAAGAAATTACTTGCCAAACAATACTCATCTCAGCATGGTACAGTGCTGCAGTACGGTAAAGCAAACACAAGCCACAATGGGCTACAAATGTCATTCTGAAGGGCCTCATCGAAGCAGACCTTTTGACTTGCTCTTTTTTTTTTTCCCTCATCATTTTCCCAAGAATATTTATAGAGTAGTAAGAAGAACGATGAAAGCACTACACAGCGATGCTCCAAGAGTCTTCACCCTTTTCACAAAGTAATTTTCAGTATGTTCACCTACAGTTCAGCAGCTCATGAAATGACAAGACTGACTCTTCTCGAGCAAGCTGCAAGAAGAAATGCAAAAAAGCCCCACAAATCCACAGGTAACCAGCCTTTAAATCTTACCCTATTTAAATCATGGGATGGTGGGGTCAGCTGAGTAGCATCAGGTGGAGGAGCAGAAAGCAAGTTGTTTGGGTAATCTAGCAGATAACAAACCACGCTGGTATGACCACCTTTTGCTGCCTCTATTAACATAGTTGAACCATCCTAAAGAGGGAGAGATCACAGTATTAGGGAACAGCATCATCAAAATATGACAACACTGAAGCATTTTGAAAAACATGACACAGGATCTATTAAGACTGCTTTAATAAAAACTCACTCGATCTGCACTAAGTTCACATCTAAACTTAAGGACTCCATTGAAGTATTTCCCAAAAAACCTAGTACTTCTTAAAATTTCCCCTCCTCTTCCACGATTATGACCTTACAACTGGAGTGCAACCTTTACGTTCCTGGTAATCAATAGACCTGCACTCCTCCTAACTCCAACCTCTATAAATAACTCACGATCATAATGCCTGCTTGTGGAAATACCAGCTCTTGCATCTTCTATTTAAATCGCGTCAAGTGGGGTCAATTGCAGAGAACACCAAAGGAGCACATTCGCTTGGATATCGTTAGCTTAAATATCAGTGAAAGGCTACCTCCGAGGAAAACAAGGCAGCCGAGCAACAAACCTTCAGTCTGTGTGTAGGATCAGCACCATGAGCTAGCAGTAACTCCACGACTGCCAAGTGACCTCCAGCACAGGCCAGCGACAGAACCGTATGATCGTTGTTAGCTGTCGTCCTGTTCACGTTTGCTCCTTCAAAAGCAGAGGGGGAAAGATTATTTACAAAGACTTCAACTGATTCTCCTCTACCAAAAGTGACATGAAGTTAACTCTCTTTTTTAATCTGAAAACGTAGCTCTCCATGGCTTACAACTGATAAATTAAACCGAACGCTCAATTACTACTATCAGCAGAAGAGCATTTAACATGTCACAAGAAGAAAAGCAACCCTACCTGGACTAGCACTCCAAACTCACTGTTCCAATGGCTGCACTGTAAGCACGGAACACTGCACAGCAGGTGAGCCTACTGCACTGAATTTTGCCAGCAACTGTGCCAGGGCTATGCCTCTTATTTAAAAAAAAAAAACAAAAAAAACAACACCCAAAAAAACCCCCCAAAACCAAAAAAACCCCGAAACACCCACAAACCAACAAACACTAAGATCCCTGCAGGACATGGATCCATGCATCTCAGCACCATCAAGCAGACAATTAATGGCAAATCTGCTTCTTTCCTCTACCATCTACCCAGGGAAAATTACATCCCACTGGAAGCTTTAGGTCAGTCCTGCTCCATACAAAGAAGGTACAAGAAAAAACCCTCAGCATCAGCTTGAGAGAGAGAAAACAGCAATTCCGAGCTTTGTATCAACTCTGTGCATTCAACAAGGACGTAAGGCTGGAGCTGATAGTTATGACAACGGCAAGCAAGCTACAGTCAGAACTTGGAAACAAACAGGCACTTCAAGTTAAACTTATGAGAAGTCAGAGCTCAAATGCTGCACCAGGAGCACAGAGACACCCACTAACCGCTGCTACTGTTGCGGCTTTCACAAGGAATTAAGAGACTGGAATATGACTGGTTTTAGAAATAGTTGCAGTTCCCACTCATCTCACCAGAAACAAGAGGTGATCATTACATGCCTAGGTTGAGAATCAATGACCTACTTGAGTTAAAATATTTGAAACAGATCCAAGCAAGTTACATGAATACTGACATTTCTAACAGCAGGAAAACCAAAACCTTTTCACACTCTTACCTTTGCTAATCAGGAACTGAACAGTGCAAACATGACCTGCCCTTGCAGCTTTCATGAGAGGAGTCCTTCCACCTTCTGATTCATGCTCCTAGAACAGATTAAAAAAAGGCTTAAAATTCAAAATTTGCACATGTGAAAGGATGCAATTCAGCCTTTTGTTTTTGAATGGAAAGAGACCAGACACCTAAGATCCCTTTGTAGTGTTTCACAAACTACAGAAATAAAAAATTTACATAGCATTGCAGCCAAGGGTGTCTTGCAGACAGATTAAACTACCTACCTTTGTACAGGTCTGAGACTCCTGGACAAGAAGCACTCAAGCACACGGTGGGGATTTTAGTTAAACAATATGTGTCCTGTCATGCTTAACCTCAGTTTTTGATAACACACTGGTGTACAAAGCTACTGAAATGTAAAAATCAATTCACCTCAACACCTTAATTCCATTATGGTACACCAAATAGATCACATCAGAACAGAACTATCACTGCTGCATAAGGAAGAGAACAAATTTGCAGGTACAAGTACTGACCCACAATCAGCTCACAATTCTAAGCTGAATACCATTCAGGACTGCACGTGACTAAAGAACAAAATCCCCTATTTTTCTGTACAAGCAACCTTGAATGACTTGGAAATGCTTTAGGCATCAATTGCCCAAGTGCTGTAACTGACCTAAGCACCTTCAGGTAATTAAACAGCCTCAAATCCATTAGAAAGGCATCACCGATTCTCACTTAGTTAAAAGAAAAAAGGTTAAAAGATACTTTGAATACAACTATAACAGCAAACTCATTAAGTTTCCAGCAATGAACACGGGACCAAAAAGAATTAATACACAACTGTAATTTTATTGCCCAGTTACATTTTTTTTAAGACAATGACTTACCAGATCCGCGCCTGCCTGAAGTAAGACATCTGCTACATCAGTATGGCCATTTTCACAGGCATATGTCAGTGCTGTGTCACCCGTGGCTGTTGTTGCATGCACATTGGCCCCTGAAGCAGTAATAACAAGCACGTAAGCTTTGTCAAGTTCATTACAGAAAACATGCAAGTCTCTTCGCCATCTTTACCAGAGCAGATAGCAAATTTTTAACTTCCCCCTTCCAATCCAGCACCTATAAAATTCACAACTTATTCATACTCTAAAGGAATAAAAAAACCCAACCCAAACATAAACTAGAAGTTCAGTTCCAAGCGAGTTCACATCAACTTGATCTTCAAAAGCTAAATTAGGGTCCAACTAGCAAATTATTTAAGGCTCCACAAACCTTTGCATTCAACTTCAAGAAGCTGCTAATGAAAAAGTAATTAACATGGAAAAAGATATTTTTCTCTTAGGGTTACATTAAGTCTCTACAAAACTGTTATCAAAATTACTCCATACCTGCAGCTAATAAATATTTAACGAGCTCCAAATGACCCTCTTGAGCAGCCTCCATCAAAGGTGTGGAACAGCCAAGTTCTATGTCAGCTCCTGCTTTAATAAGAAAATCCGCAACCTCCAAAAAACCTCCACAGCAAGCCAGAGTTAATGCGGTTTCTTGCGTCTCCTCTGTTTGAGCATTGATGTTTGCTCCTTAAAACAAAACAGAACACCAAAACCACACTTACATCAGCAAACACTACTGATTGAAACCAGTATCAGCGAACAAAGCCATTTCCTGATGCACAAGGCATCTTCTTATTACCTCTCTCACTTCTAGAGCTGCAGAATTTTTCTTCTAAAAATCATAGCGTATCAACCTAAAAGACTTCCACTTCATTTAACTACTTTGGAAACCCCTCTGAGGGCCTCAAAGCACTTCTCTACAGCTTTTCAGCACTACCACCACCTCAAGATAGGCCCAGGCCGTTGCACCGAGTGCAAGTTACATGGAATAGTGAATGGTTAATGTGGGTCTGTCTGAAAAATGCAAACCTGTTCTGAAGAACAATTCAGAATGACCATTTACAAACTAAACTAGTAAAGCAGAGGATATTTTGCAAAAAAAAAAAAAAAAAAAAAAAAAAAAAAAAAAAAAAAAAAAACAAAAAACCCAAAAACAAAAAAAACACAAC